AGAATCAACTAAAAACTCAGTAAAACGTTTATGGACAATCATAGACTCCTTCATTAGCTGTTTTCACACATGCTCAAAGCTCCTCAAATTTCCAGGTGTGAACGCAAAGCAGCCACATGTTTTCGCCCAACTTTTTCCTGATGGTCTAGTAAAATTTCCACGGGGGGGGGCGAGTCACAGCAGGTAATATTCAAGAAAAGTCCACATGAGCAGGGTTGCCAGGGGGATGACATTTATATATCCTGTGACAGCTTTGCAAATGGTGGGATTGTCATGCATGTAATGAAGCTGCTTCATACTCAGTATTTTCTATTCAACTCGTTCGTTCTGTGAATATGTCCAATTACTCGTAGCGCTGATGTAAAGGCAAAATCTTGCATTATACCATTAGAGTCCTGCTGCCTCGTCCTTTTAAATCATGTCTTGCCTCCCAAGACCACCCCTCCACCCTAGACAATGCTGCATGGAAGCACAGGTGTGTGTGTGTGTGTGTGTGTACCTCTGAAAGCGCAGCCCCATCTTGTTAGCCAGAGCGTGCAGCAGAAGCACTGTTTGCCCCCAGGCCGCGTTGATTTCATTCCACTCCACAGGCACGCTAGGGAGTCGACCCAGACGGAAGTTGTTGATGGTTCCAAACTGTCCGCTGTGCCTGCAAACAGACGATTCAGAAACGTATTCCAAGGAAAATTTAATTTGATAAAATTATGTCCAAGAGGCGATACGCATTTAATATTTGCTTGTGCTAGATGATGAGTTACAGAAAAAACAAATGATTTCTTCCTCACATGCATGACACCTATTGCGTCTGTACGTGTGGGTGCATACCAGATGTGAAATGTGGCGTTGAAGACGTTGGTCTTTTTCAGGCGGTCGAGCTGAATCTGGCAGTAACGCATCTGATTGTCGACACTCTTCAGCTCATCATCCAGCTCCAGCTGTTGCCGTTTAAACTCGCTGTACTCCTTTTGGTACCTTTAAGCACATACACGGAGCAGTTAGCTGCTGTATCCTGGAGTTCATCTCCTGTTTGCACCGCCCTGCACAAACTCACTGTAGCTCTTCTGTGTCCAGCTGCTGAGACTGGATCCTGCTCTCTGCCAGGTCCTGAGCCACGGCGGCCCTCTGCTCCTCCACAGACTCCAGCTCCTGGACCAGTGCCTCCTCCTCCTCATTTAGCTGCTGCAGCTCTGCCAGCAGGGTCTCCTCTTCCTCCACCTGCAGGTGTGACAGCAGCTCCAGACACTGCCTGAAATACATATACAGTTTTAACTTACAACATACACATTTGGATTCAGTTATTTAACAGATTTTAACTTGACTCACTTGTAATTCTGGCATTCGTTCTCTGTGATGTTGAGCTGTGTGTCCAGGTGGTCCAGCAGGGTGTCAGTACATTCCTCACACAGCGGGTGGTCAACGTCTGTCTGGCCCGACATGATGTCAAACAGGTCGCTGGTAACCTGTGTGTGATAAAATCAGATCAATTAAAGGATCAGATAAACTGACACAGTTTGTTAGTTGTGTGGTTTTGGTTTAAAAAAAAAAAAAAGCTTTACCTTCAGCCTACGACTGAGATTTTCCATGGTGCCACCATCAGATGCTTCTCCAATCAGCGTAAAGCTATTGGCGCTCTCTGTTGACATCATTCTGCAGAGCAAAATTCAGCAGTTCACTCAAAATGCAAACAAAGACACCACGAAAAAGTGATCCCTTTTCAGCTGAATGAAAATCTTTAAGTATTCACCGGGCAGGAGGGATGTATTTTCTTGAAACTCCATCTTGCTTGTTTTCTACAAAGGTCTCCTGAAAGGAAAATATAATTCTGACAATCAACCTTGCCAATCAATGCTTGCCGTAAAAAAAAATAAAAAAATCCATCTAATTATGTTATTTAACGTGATGGTATTGTGCAAGCATTTGTTTACTTTATATATATATATATATATATATATATATATGTATGTGTGTGTGTGTGTGTGTGTGTGTGTGTGTATGGAATGGAACTTTGAATATATGGAATGGAACTGTGAATATATGGAACTTTGAATATATGGAATGGAACTTTGAATATACTGAATGGAACTTTGAATATATGGAATGAACTTTGAATATATGGAATGAAACTTTGAATATATGGAATGGAACTTTGAATATATGGAATGAAACTTTGAATATATGGAATGGAACTTTGAATATATGGAATGAAACTTTGAATATATGAAATGGAACTTTGAATATATGGAATGGAACTTTGAATATATGGAATGGAACTTTGAATATATGGAATGGAACTTTGAATATATGGAATGGAACTTTGAATATATGGAATGGAACTTTGAATATATGAATGGAACTTTGAATATATGGAATGGAACTTTGAATATATGGAATGGAACTTTGAATATATAGAATGGAACTTTGAATATATGGAATGGAACTGTGAATATATGGAACTTTGAATATATGGAATGGAATTGTGAATATATGGAATGAAACTTTGAATATATGGAATGAAACTTTGAATATACTGAATGGAACTTTGAATATATGGACTGGAACTTTGAATATATGGAATTAAACTTTGAATATATGGAATGGAACTTTGAATATATGTTCACAGTTTCATTCCATATATTCAGTTTCAGTCCATATATTCACAGTTTCAGTCCATATATTCACAGTTTCATTCCATATATTAATTCCCTGAACGGCTTGCCATAGTTTATTGATGGATTATTTATATAACTTGTTAAAATTCACAACACATTGTTATATATTATTTTCATAATGTCTGTGGTGACGGTACTGTAGTTACTAACGGAGCTGTCAAGTTTTCTGTTTTGTAAACATCAAACAGTTTAAGCACTTGACTTTGGTCGTCTGCTACACTTACCTCTGGTGCTGTGTGACCCTCAGTGCTGTCAGCTTGTTTGCTGGGGGTCACTGTGACCAAAGGAGCTGAGGAGGAGACAGCAACAAACAAGTTACACTAAACGTCACACATGTTTTACAGCAGCGATGGTTGACTCTTGGGATTATACAAACCAATGAGCTCCTGGATTGTAACCCGGTCGAGCACATTGAAGGATGTGTCCAGTTTTAGCGGCTGACAGCAGCGCTGACACACGAAGCTGACCTGCATGGTTGTGCTCGACGACTTAGAGCCCTCCATCGTTAACTACAAGAAAACACATGAGAACACAGAGCACACTGTGTGAAGACTGGATGAGTGACACCACTAGCAGCTTGGAATTATTATTACCAATGGAATTTTAGAAGTTACTGAAACGCTGAATATCTTTCAAACAATTAAACTCTGTTTGCTGAACAGCCACACGGCTAGGTTGCTAATTGTAGCTGCGCAGCGAACCAGAGCGTAACAACGTCAAAACACGTACGATGGACTCACTGTGGTGCGTGAAGAGTCAACAATATTGCATTATAATCCTGGCTTGTACATACCGAGGGATAAAAAAAATCGCTCTATTGTATCTAGCGTGACTGTTGCATTTTACACCTCGGGACTTATCTTTCCACTTCCGTATTGTTGTTTACGGCGGACGTGACGTCAGACTTAAATGTGTTGGATGAATATATTGTAAACTAACTAACTAACCGCTGCTGCTAGATACAGCAAAAAAGTCTTACCAAATGACTTTATTAGTGTATGGAATACATTTACTGAAAAGTGTGTGACTTAAAAAAATAAAAAAAATTAAATGTAAATCAGCTGTAATAGAGTATGAATCTCAATGTTTGTGTCTGTTTGGACAAATGCAAGCTTAGAACTGTCTCTTTGAATAAAAAACTTTTCAGCCTCTCCTTTAATCTAGATTAAAGTATCAGTGTTTCTACTCTTTTTTTTAATTTTTTTTTACAGCCTTTGGTTCTATACGGTGGCTGGGAAGTGCAAAGCAAAATTACAAATGTGAGACAAATTTACATTTTGAAAAACACATTTACATTTTTTTTTTTTTTTTACTTTACTTTTCCTTTTTCCAGCTGTTTAGTTACATTCGGATATCAAGCCAGCAGAAATAGATTACAAAAGTAAGATACAAATCAAAATGTCCACTCCAAAGAATATACATAAACACAATAATACACATAAACAAACAAGTACATAAATAAATGTTCATAAAAGTAGAGGAGAAATGAAAATCCTAAATAAAAGTTATAATCATAAAGAAATAAATTCTAATCCACTCAAAGATATCACGTGTCAAAGTACAGGTGCGAAGTCAACCCCAGGGAAAAATGGTGCATGGTCTTGGTCTGCGGCCAAATTAAACATCACTCTCTATTGCATTAGTAAAGCCAGTACAGGTCGTCATCTTGTTGTGAACATTTCTTTTTTGGAGTCTTAATTGGTATGTAATTTGTTCCATTTGGTAAATGTCCCAAACTTTCTGGATCCATATATTGTAAGTGGGAGGGGGGTTGGTTTCAACCAGCGTATCGTGATACATTTACATTTTATAAAACAAATTTACAAGATGTGAAACACTTCTAAAATTGATGAGACAAATTTACAAACGACAGAATTTTGACAAAATGGAAACGTACCAAATGTCGGAAGTGACCCGGAAGTGATGGAGTGAGGGGTAATTTTTGTTTGTTTTGTTTATGTCGCGGTACATTCCCTTTCTGTCAAGATTCTGTCGTTTGTAAATTTGTTTGGGGGACTGGTAAAAGTGTTCTGCCTCTTGTAAATTTGTCTCAGCGATTGTAAAAGTGTTTCACATCTTGTAAATGTGTTTTGTCCTTGGTAAGTGTTTTTGGTTTTGTAATTTTGTTTCATAAAAATGTAAAAATGTTTTTCAAAATGTAAATTTGTCTCACATTTTGTGAAAGTGTTTAACACTTTGTGAGTTTGCTTTGCACTTCCCAGCCACCGTAGGTTCTACCATAGACCATAGAGTGTAAATATTACACATTGCTGTGTATTGTGTGCTTTCCCCCTCCGGACCAGTAGGCGGCGCTTTGACACAATGGCGAACCGCCATTAAACATCATCAGAAGAAGACAATAGTTGCGGGAAAACTGAAGCGGATGTTTTCTCCTCCACACTGTAGCAAAACAAGGTAAACCAAGAAATATATAATGTTAAAAGTGTCAGTGACATTTCAAAAACTGTAAATTACTTTTCTACTCATAAGTTAGTTCGCCGATCCGTTCTGGTGAAATGTCATAATCTGAAAAGTTCTGAGGTGAAGGTGTGTTAAGTTGTGTAACCTCTCAAAACAAATCATAGCAGCTAGCCAGCCGGATGATTAAGCTTAGGATACTGTTTATGTTCATGAAACTGTTATTTTATGTTACACTTCATCTAACTCATCTGGTATTAGAGTTGTTTCATCACATGTTAAAACCGTATTCTGCTCTTATCACCTTTAAAAAAAAAAACCCATTATGATTCTCAGTAGACACGACTGACGTTTTCATAATGTACAGAAAAGGAAACACCTTAATTTATGTGTACATTTAATGATTTTTGACACTTTATTCAGAATATGTCGACATTATTGAACTCATTTCAGTCGATGCTGACGTACATTGAATACACAGCAGAGCAAGTTTGGTTTCAGGTGGTTTATGAAAATGTGCCAGTGCCTTACAGATAACTCAACAAAGATGACAATAGAGTCTATATGTACAACAAAGATGACAATAGAGTCTACATGTACAACAAAGATGACTACCTGGATGACAATAGAGTCTATGTACAACAAAGATGACAATAGAGTCTATATGTACAACAAAGATGACTACCTGGATAACAATAGAGTCTATATGTACAACAAAAATGACTACCTGGATAATAATAGAGTCTATATATACAACAAAAATGACTACCTGGATAACAATAGAGTCTATATGTACAACAAAGATGACTACCTGGATAACAATAGAGTCTATATGTACAACAAAGATGACTACCTGGATAACAATAGAGTCTATATGTACAACAAAGATGACTACCTGGATAACAATACTGCCCTACAAAGGCAAAAGGCAGTAACTTCATTTTTTAAAAAAATGAGTTTTTGTCATTTTTGGAACATTACAGATGTGCTTTATTATGTGGACAGATATCTTGAGTCAATTGTGTTTTGTTTTTTTTGTATTTGCCTTAACTTCCAAAAGCCCTCGAGAAACCAAGGCAGAGTGCAGTAACTTCACTCATCAGGGTCTTTGCCTCAAACTGAGTTAAGGTCTTCTGCCTTTGTATTGCTGCGAGTCAAAGTGAAGTTACTGTTTTCCTGCAGTGGAGTTAAGGCGTTATGCCTTTGTTTTAATATCTGTCATCAAGCACTTCTGACACACACAGTAGCTTGAATAAAGTGTGGAAAAGAAATAGTGTTGGTTGCGTTATTTTAACCATGCAACCAAGTGAAATACAGTATCAAATGGAAGTTACTGCCTTTTGCCTTGGCATGACCCGTTATTATTATACAGGCAATGCAAAGGCAGAGTACCTTAACTTCCAAATAAGGGTCAAAGGTCATGTTTGAGCTAAAGATTTTTTATGAACGTTAATAACCTCATTAAAAGACAAAGAATTGCCACATTTCCAATATTCTGCCTGCGACTCATTTGGCTGGACAACAAAAAGACTTTAACGTAATTTTTCTCAGTTCTACACTCTGGCGAGTTAAGGTCTTTTGCCTTTGTAGGGCAGAATAGAGTCTATATGTACAACAAAGATGACCTGATCAAAGTACACAAAGATAATCAATTGTCATAACTTGACTGCTGCAGCAACATGAGGTTGTATAAATCACTGATATGGTGAGACTTTTGGGTGAGCCCGAGGTTTTTTACTTTCCAATAAACCACAAGAAAGTAAATTATAATACAACCACAGCAAAACATGTATTCTGTTTGAAGCTGACACACTGCAGAACAGTACAGAATATTTTTAAGGCTCAACGGACTCGCATGCTGTATCCATGCTGCTTTATTTCCCATAAACACATTCAATGTATTTCTCAGTAATACTAAAATGCATCAAATACCATGTCACTTATAGTTTTGTTTATTAGTGATAGAAATCACCATGACAACTCCAAAGGCAGCAGATGTAAAAAAGGGGATTTCTGTCCTTTGGGAGACTCTTCAATGTCCCATATGGTGAGTTCACTTCTTCTGAATTTACATTATTTTGGTGAATTAAGAGATTCATTTAGTCACTTTAATACTTACTTTTTGCCTTTTCTCATTTGTAGCTTGGATTTAATGACTCAACCTGTATCAACCAAGTGTGACCATCAGTTTTGCAAGTAAGTAATGTTTAATTCTGCTTAAAAAAAAGTTTAATTATTTTTTAATGCATTAATTAATCTAGTGTTTTTCTTTTTTCTTTTTTTTTTAAACCAGATTTTGTATGATGAAACTTTTGGACAATAAAAAACAAAATCAGGCAAGCTGTCCAGTGTGTAAAGCCAAGATAACCAAAAGGTTGGACAATAGTAACAATATGACAGTAGAAGAACATTCATTATTTTTTGATATTAACTTTATCCTAACAAGTGTGTATTTCTTTACCTGCACAGGAGCTTACAGGAGAGTCCTGGATTTCAGAGACTTGTTGGTGGATTGCAGGACATGATACAGGCGTATGAACATGACACTGGCACAAACTGTAAGAATACATATCGGACTTTTAAGTAATACTAAGTTTAAAAAATAAGCTTTAAATTCATTATTGAAAAACTTACCTTTTTATGTTTTCAGACTTTACTGGGATGTCCCAGCAAACAGAACAACCAGGGTAAGACTTTTAAACCTCCCTTACTAGCAATAAACAAATTCTAGTTTATTTAAAGTGGTTGCATAACTTTTATTTCCTCCTGTACTATCCTGTTTCCAGGGTCAAATATGTTGAAGCTACTAAATACAGTCAAGATATGTCATCTGAAGAAACAACAGGAACTGACCTGGAAAATGTGGAAAACAATGATGATGTTCCAAAGTCTCCCTCCTCAACAATAGCAGGTACAATTTTGCAGCCTAATATAGAGGGTCAGGTTTGTTTTATTTTAGAGCTATTACTCTGAAAGAGTAGATGGCAATTGAGGTAATAAATCATGGGTTTGTCTTATTATTTATTTAAAAAATACTTTTTTTTTTCTACAGAATAATTATTAATGCCATTTCACATTTTATTTCTTTTTTTTTAGCTCAGAATGATTTTGCTAGACTAATGGGTCTTCAAGACTCGAGTCCTTTTACGACAGAAAACGAAGGCCTGGACAGTGGCCTTGGTGGAGCTCCACCAACTTCTGACGAGAAAATTACAGGTGACTTCGAACCAGCTCTAACAGAAATAGCGAACGATGTGGAAAATATAAAATCAACACACAAAACAAAAGGTAAAATAAGAGTTCCTGAATCAGAAAAAGCCACTTCCAGAATTCCAGAGCAGACTCAACAACAACCTTTAAGAAAGTCCTTAAGGAGGAAGAAGAAGAAAACGGATGAGGAGCCTGAAAAGATTATTGATGACAAACAAAAGAAAAGTCTGGAGAAAGTGGCCGAGTGGCTCATGAAAGTTCCAGCTGAAGGAAGTATTGAATTTGAACAGCCACACCAAGACGCAGATGACTCAGACAGCTGCTCTTCCACTTCAACAATCGATGTCAAGCAACATTATAGTGATGTGTATGCTAGGAGAGAGGATCGTGCTAAATCTCTTGAGGAGCAGGTGTTTGGGACCGTGTACAAACGAGGGAACAGATTTAGCTCTCCTTTGTGCAATGTTTTCGCAGAACCACCAAAAACTGAAGACAGTGAGCTAACCAGAAAAGTTTCCAGAAGAGGGAAGAAAAAGACTGAAATCTATGCTGATTGTGATAAAAAAACAAGCTCAGAAAAAACAACTGAAAGCAATACTGAGGAAGAGCAACAAATGACAGAGGAAGTAAAGGACACAAGCAGTAACTTTTTTGAAAACTCAGACTTTATTGAAGTCAAACAGGGAAAAAATGATGTGAATAAAAATGAGGAAAAGTTGGACAATTTGCCAGAAAGTGACAAATATTGTAGTGTAAATGAGGTTTCCTGCCTTGTGCCTAAAACCAGACAGGAAAGAAATTTAAAGAAAAAGACTACTAACCCTGTAGAGCAGGTCGACAGTGATTTACAAGAAGGAGATAAGCAGGAAGTCCCGGAGCAAAAGAAAACTGGTAAGAGGAAAAAAGATGGGAGGCTTACTAGAGTGTCAAAACCACTTGATCTGGTTGGAGTCCAAAATGGAGAAACCAGTCCCATGGCTAGGCCAAGGGCAGAGGATGTTCAAGTTCATATTGAGAACTATCCAAGCAGCGAAGACCAAGAAGTTCCTCTCACAAGGAGTACAAGAAAAAGTAGAAGACTTCAAGTGTTCGTTGAGGAAGTCCAGGAAGGCCACAAGAGAGCAAACCTGAAAGCCATAGTTCCCCAAAAACAGAGCAATGTAGAATCTGATGGAGCTTCAGTCGAAACATTGGATGATAAGTTATCACCTAAGAATGGTAACATAACAAAGGTGGCTGAAATAAATGGATGTATTTACGATCAAGATTTAGGTGGCATAGAAAACATGGAGACTGATGGTGGGACTTCCAATTTGAGATCAACAGAAGAATTACCAAACACTGGAACCTTGTCCCAATCCAGTGCTGCTTGTTGTGTCCATGTGGTCCCAACATCTACAAGTCCAGCTGAAGCATCTGTGGTCGGTCCGACACCTGAAATAGACAATCCAACACCTCATTTTCCAAACACTGTTCAGGTGGAGTCCTCAGCTAACGAGTCTAAATGTGCTGAAATGGAATATGAAGATGACAAGAACGACAGCGAACTGGACACAGAGCAACTTCTCAGAAGCTTCAAAGCCACTAAGAGGAAGTCTTTTCATCTCGGCGGCCCAAATGTGAAAAGAAGCCGTAGTTTAAATCAGGGAACTCTTGTAGGAGCTCAAACAGAGGAGAGCAAGCAAAATTGTGCTGGAGTAGAATCTGAAAGAAATGTAAGCCATGCCAAGAAGTCAGAAAACACCAAACCAGAGACATTAAGAGGCAATGAAAACTTGTCTTTTGGCGATTTGATTCCCCCTTCTTACTCACCTGGTCACACAAGAAAAACAGATCAAGCGGCGCTTCAAGCCTCAATCCCTGATAGTATGTGTTCAGGACAACAACATGTCTCCGTTAGTAGTGACCTTACTCCTAATAAAGTGTCCAAACATGAAATAGAAGGTTCGATTCTTGCTGTTGTGCCCCCTGTCGTGGATTCTGGGCTCTGCTTCGCGGGGATTGAACATGAGAAGCTCAACGAAGCCTCAAAGAAATCTCAAATCCCTGAGAATCAGATCGAATGTACCACAGGGAACATCGGAGAAGTTGTTGAGATAAAAAACAAGGATTCAGATGCTGGAAGGGAAGAATCAAACAATAGCGCGGATCATTTTTTAAATGCGCAATCATCTTTAACTCCTGACAGTCTTGGACTACCGGTTGCTCAGACTGACCCCGATACAAAGCAAACAGTTTAAATGGAAGTGGACAATTCAGCGACCATCCTTCCAACAAGAGCAGGAAGAGGAGAAGGGCCCAGAGGCTTAACTCTTCATCCGAGTCAGACTGCAGTGAAGAGGAATTGCCAACGTTGAAAGATATCTTAGGAACATCAGCTCCCCCCTGTGCTCTGACTAAGGCCTCAAATGAAGCTAGCAAACTGGAGGATGTTCCAGCTGAAGAAGAACAACAGCTGAGCCATCCACCTGCCTGCGTCAGCCCTGATCATGTTAATTCCAGTCAAGGATCGGAGGACTTATTTGGGACCCCAGAAGAATGTGAGTTGACTCCTTAGTGAAATCTGTCTTCAAAGGTATTTTATTTTCTCACAAATCTGCCAGATTATGTGCTTGCTCTTTCCCATTGTTCTAATTTATATGTTCGTCGGAAAAGAAGTGATTCTCAAGGATTTCAACACAAAACAATTTCACAATTTCCTCTCTGCAGGTGATGTTCCGGTAAATGACCACATTGTTTCTGTGGAATCGTCACAATTTTCGAGCGAAGTTCTTGTGACACAGGTAAATATGATTAAGTTTGCACTTAAAAACAGCATCTGTTATGGAAAAAAAAGTGTATGAAGTGATTAGATATTCCATTATATTGAATGTTACAAAATGTCACAAAATGTTAAGTCCATATCTTTGCCTGTTCAGCTCTACCTGCCTGCATTGTGCTCCTGCTGATGCACTGTCACATTACGCCCCAGAGAGGGCAGCCACCACATTTCCCCCGAACCAAACTGTCAGCTTCCCAGATGACAGACTACCCCGCTCTGTAAAAAATGTCCCCCTCAGCAGCTTTCTAAATTGCATTTCATTTACGTTAGCGGAAAACACCGCCTATGAGATGATTCTTGTTTTCTACCTCATCCATCTTCCCGCACTCTCACTTTTATCTGTCGACTGTATTTGACTGCGAGTTCGAGTTTCACACCCCGGGCTTTAGAAAGAGCCCAGGATTAAAAACATCTGAGAATACAGAGATTTGGTGCTTGTGTTGTGTGTCTGTATAAATAATCAATGGGTGTACTTGAGGGGTAAACTCAAAGGATGAAATAACAAAGTATTAGCCCAGTGAAGCATTGAAACCATTTCAAATGTATAGATTTTGTTTTTGCAAACCTGCACAAGTTGGAAAATATGTTTACAAATCTAAGGTCTGATATGATAACCGACTCACTCTTTCTGACAAACTGGCTTTAGCTGTGTCACTGATTGACAGCCGTCATAGTTTGCATACGATTAATCTGCAGCTACTATGTGTCCCTTTAAATGTTGCATTGCTGCTTTTCTTTTCCTCCTATTCCCTGCCTTACATTTATTGAAGTGTCATAATTATAAAATGCCCTTCTTGATTTGTGTTTCCTTCTCCTCCAGCAAAAGATCGAGATGCAGAAGGAGCTGGTGCGGTTGGAGAAGTTGATGGCTCTGGTGTCAGAGGTGCTTCAGGAGAAAGAGGGCAGTCCTGTAAAAGAAGATCATCAGAGCAGCCAAACCACAGGTTAGCACAAACCACATATTTTACTTATAGCTGAAATGATAAAGCGCTGATTTGGCTAATAGATTAATTCTTGTTTAAGATTAAATGTATTTATTTGATCTTTTTCCATTTTCTCTAAGATTAGATATATGCTAGTGCAAGTTTTATAGATTATGAACTCAATATCTTTGGACTTTGAACATTTTGTCAGACGTTTTAAAGATGTCATTCTGGGCTCTAGGAAACAGTGGTAGTCATTTTTTACTACTTTAATGGACAAACCAGTTGATCCAGGAATTTAAATAATGATGCAGTAACAGCATCAAACCCAAAGCCGACAATTTTGGAACATTAAAATAAACATGTAGGGTAAACATGAAAGTTTGCCCAATTTGTAAAGATTGAATAAGGCACAGATCAGGGAAAAGTTATTTGATTGTAAATAGAATAGTATCTTAGTGAAGCCTCTAAACAGAGTCTCTCCTTTTGATCTGTTTGAAGTCATGTAGGAGTTTGTTGCAAGTATTGAGAGTTTATGGAAGTTTTTTTCATCAGGTCCTAACGCACACAGACCCCTCCCATCTGACCAGAACACAGACCAAGGTTCAGACCAGTAAGTAAACACGACGAAATGAACTTTGAGTATCAATACCAAGACATTTCTGTTTCTGCTCAGACTCCGTCACTCTCTCCTGATTTGAGTTCAAAGCACTTAACCACAAAAAAAAACTGTTCCTGCCTTCTTAATGAAAGTAAATAATATGAAATTACAATCAAGTTTCTCTTAATGTTTATACAAAATCATTGTCAATACATAGCATTAATGGCAAAATCTTTAGTAGGGCTTTCACACTTGCAGAAAACTCCAGAAAAGTTTTTCACTCAGACTTTATACAGAGTTTCTTCTCCTGCCAGCCCCATAGTATTTTTTCCATACAAAGTACACTTTGAATTGAATTCGATCAAACTTTAAAGGCAACAACTAACCATTTGGGGAAATATGGTTCTGTAATTCTCTTTTATATGAAGCTACTAAATCTTTAAACTCCAGAAAAGTTTTTAGACTTTATACAGAGTTTCTTCTCCTGCCAGCCCCATAGTATTTTTTCCATAAAAAGTACACTTTGAATTGAATTCGATCAAACTTTAAAGGCAACAACTAACCTTTTGGGGAAATATGGTTCTGTAATTCTCTTTTATATGAAGCTACTACCATCATTTTCTGAGCTTAGCTTAGCTTAGCATGAAGACTGTAAACAGGTGAAAACAGCTAGCCTGACTAGCGGAAAGGTTTTGTTGGTGGTCACTAGGCCGATCAGCTGTGAACACCTTCCAGTCAAAGCTGATTTCAATAACAAACGGAATGAATGAAATATCATCGTGCAATGTATTTCTCTCCTCAGAGGCCCTGATACATTGTTAATACATCTTAAATGGAGCTACATATTAAGCAGAACAATAACTGGAGCAAGTGGCATGTAATTGGTCTCTTTGAGTCTTTAACTGAAGGAGAAAGTTAGGAAGTGTCTGTGTGTGTCTGTATGCGTGCATGCGTGCGTGTGTGTGTGTGTTGCTAGCGTGGTTCTCAGAGGGTGATGCATCTGGAGTGGACAGGCGGATAATCTCACTAATGAACCCAGAATCTGCTTATGCTGTGGAGAATAAGAAAGTCATTACAGACTGCATCTTATGTGTCATTTAGAGCACTTAAAGGGGAAACTTGTGTTGCCACAGTCATTTATCTCTCCTGCTTGACTGCTCCACCCCCCCAACCTCTCGCCTTGCAGGGAACTAAGTGCACTCCTTCAGGCAAGAGAGAGGGAACAAATGGAAATAGATGACAGATGAAAGCACAGAGGGTCTTAGTTAGACAAGTTCCAAATTAAAAAAAAGGATATGCTCCATGAGGGAAAGGGAGAAGTTGGAGGAAGAAGTTAGCGCTGACAACAGTTTTCAATGAGCCTTTATTATATCAATGCTGGTTGTTTAGGTGTAGGCCCTCTGCCAGTTGTCTGGAAATTTACCCAAAACACAACAAAGGAAAAAAATCACCTGCAGATGAGTATTAACTGTCTTGTAGTCCATTGGAAATAAAAGACTTGATTAATTTGAGATCAAGTTAATGCTCGATAATGACTTTTTGTAAAACATCTTCACACTTAACAAAATAGCATAGTGCACTGACAGTTTTGTGTCTTCAGTGGTTTAGTTCTTCTCCAGCATGTTTTGATTATGTCTCTTTAAAAATGTCTCAGAAGTCACCTGATCAGATGAATCAAAGGTTAAGGTCACGTCCATTCCAGACCTCGTGATGTTGAATACTTTATCTCAGCAAAGCCCAGAGAAATACCTGCTTTTAGTTAGTTTTGTTTGTTTGAAAAAACAATTGGACATTTTTTTTTTCCCTTTATTGGATAGGAAAGCTGAAGAGAGACAGTAAATGTTGGGAGGAGAGAGTGGGGGATGACATTCAGCAAAGAGCTGAACAGTGAGGTTTATGGGCGTACTAAAGGCCCGACTGATATATTGGCCAGCTTAAAATAAAATAAATAAAAACCCAGTGACTATCGGTATCGGCTAATTTTATCGCAGATATGCGCCGATAGTACGAGATTTATTAACCAGTCAAATAGCATTTAATCCGAGTTTCATTGTATTACACTAGCAGTTGTCTGTCACCAGCAGAGGGCGCTATGTGGATTACAACAAACATCATCACTCTCCAGAGTGTGAAGCGGTGATGCATGTACATGCACAGTTAATTACACAGTTGAATTATTCAGCTCTTTATACTGTATCTTTCCCACAAGTGATAACTTTGTTTGAGGGATCAAAGCAATACATGTGTAAATTTAAAAATCTATTTATCTCTACAGATCTCAGAAAGATATCGGCTGATAGATCGGTATCAGGTTTTTTTTCCCGTCTCCCTAATATCGGCATCCGCCCCAAATATCCTGCACCGGTCTGGCCCTTCTCTGTACACGGGCCGCGCAACTTAACTGCCAGGCTTTCTGGCGCCCCATTATAGTTTGTTTTTGTACTAATTTGAAATGATGAGTGGATAATCTCCTCTCACTTTGCCTTTCATTTTGTGGAGAGAGAGAGTGAGAGACGTTCTCTGGTGTTAAGTCCCTTTGTAAATAATTGTGTTTGCAAACTCTCCTGTTTAATGTTAGCCTCAGCTTGTGCTGTTTCTTTGTTTATTTTAGTGTTCTGTATTTTTCTCCCAATTATTTTCATTTTCAATAAGTTTCCCTATTCCAGCCACAGCTGCAATTCAACCATAAGGGGCACATTCTAGTTTGCGATAACAATTGTTAAAGTTTGAATGGCTGCTGCTCAGCTGAAGATGTTCATCATGACGCACGTACAGATAAACTAATCCAGTGTCTTGTTGCCTGTATGGCTGCATCAGTGACTTGAATCAAAGTGAAAACTGTTTTGATTCAGAGAACACAACTTTACTAACCACATACTTTTGAGTTAAACAGAAGAAGAACCCACACGTTAAAATATACCCATGTAGAATATATAGATTGGAGACTTCAGACATCAATAGCTTTATGGATACATTTGACTTTTAAGAGGACTTTTTTTTTTTTTGCTTCAGTGAGATTATATATCTCTCTCGGTTTGCGAAACCCGAGAATACTTAAAGCAGACATCTTGCCGTGCAGGTGACAAGCTTTGATTCATACTTTCGAATGACCTTCTCACCTCTGCACTGAGGTGACCTGAAATCAGATTTTAGAGAGGCGTGCCGTGCATGTGAGATGAGATGAGATGAGATTCAACTTTATTGTCATTACACATATACAAGTATAGAGTAACGAAATGAGGTTTGGCATCTCACCAGAAGTGCAAATAAGCAGAAAGTGCAAGAGTCTGTGCTATGTACAGTAATTCTGTGCTATGTACAGTAATTGCAAAATTTACAGATGTGGACAAAAAAAAAGTGAATTATTAGGTAAATCTGGATGGCTGGATTAATGGGATGCAATAAATATAAATAAATGCTATAAATATGTAATGCTACAAAATAAGTAAATAAGTGTGTTCTTAGGATTATAATATACAGATTAAGATGCAGTGAGCATGTTATACAAGTTTACAGATAATTTAAAGAATATGAACATACTATAATACAATAATACAGATGGATGAGAGATGTGTGTGTGTGACCAGGAGGAGTGGTGGGGGGATGATGGGTGTGAGGTGATATGGAGGTATTTAACTGTATTTAAGTAGTTCAGTTAAACTGGAAGAGATGCAGACATTGTTGTTGCACTGCTTGTCGTCCTTTTGTAATCTGTAGAAGTTCTCAGTCTTGAGCACATGTTCCTGCAGTAGGAGCCCTGATAGTGAGACTCTGTGAGTGTGATTTTTTTTAAAAAGGAGCTGGAGACTCATCAGTCCTCTCTAGTATGCTTCTTTGTCTCTATATGTGTATTATAGTGTCTGTTCTATTCTATTAAGAGAGCAACGTCCAATCTGCTCCCAGGAATGTTTTGATATGATTTGATCCATCATTCTTCTCTCCAGCTTGAACAAAATTGAAATGAAAGTTATTATTCAGCTGTTTGTGCTTTAAAGCAATGATGCACCTGCAAATGCAAACACTGCAAAATCCATAAATTCTATCCTTTCAAAACAATACAGGATGTCCTCACACTAACTGCCTCTATTTGCAGGAAAAGTCATCTTGAAGCAGAACCAGAGCCCACAACAAGATCATCTGGTGACAAAGTTGTGATCAAGCCCGAAGTGTCAGAGCACAGCAGCACTGTAGAGACTGGTGAGACTACTGACACAGTGTCAGGAACTGACAGTGTCTTTTAGAAGAACAAAGCAGAAAAGAAACATTTTAACAACCTTTCTATTAAGCAAACTTTTTCTTTTATGACAAGCTTTTGATTCCATACCATTCACTTCAAATTTGCCACATACACATATACAGCCAGCGATATTTTGTTGGTCAGGTGCACATTGGAGACTATGCTAGTTACTGATACGATACAGTATGATACAATATGTTGTCCCTTAGGGGGCCCGACCAATTTAGCAGCCAGCTTATACTATCGGCCATGTTAGAAACTCACGGCTGCTGCAGTGAGGACAGCCATGACGCTGTTGCACAAAACATACATCCTTAAAAAGTTGAAGTCAAAATTTTAATATGGATGGACACAAACATTGAAAGTATTACTTTGTGTAACAGATAACTAGAAATTTACTTTTTCTCTGAGAAGAATCAGGATCGTATTTTCATTTATTTTGTCTCCTCTCTCTGTTCAGCAGTGCAGCCCTCCACACACACACTGCCGAGTGTTAAAGGCACTGGAGCTTCCAACACTCCTATTACAAGTTCAGCGACCAAAACATTAAAGAACAACGTGTCTCCGTCAGAAGACAAAGAGAACAGCACTCCTCCGAGAGAAAGGAGTAAAGCCGCGATGGTTCTGGTGTCGTCTGGGTTGAGCTCCAACGAGCAGGTTTGAATCAACTCAATAAATGTGTTTTTGTTTCTTTTAAGAGCTTTGCATGCTTGGGTAAATTAACCAATCAAAAGTTGCCTCCGACAGATAATGGTGAAAAAGTTTGCCAAGAGAGTTGGTGCCCTCGTGGTTTCCCAGGTAACACCAGAGGTGACTCACATCGTCATGCACACAGGTCAGTATTAGTGTTCATCCATCCAACAGGTTTTTAATTCATGTTTGATATATGACAATTAAATCGGCTTTTAAATATTCCACTTAAGGTCTTTTGAGGTCCTGTTTTTAAATATTTTCTTCAGCAGGAACATTTAAATTTCAAGAAGTACATTGTTCTTTGAACATGAAGTTCCAGCTTGTTTTGTGCGTCTTTGTAAAAGCGCTCCTCAGAGATAAGCTCTTTGTTTCTCTCTCACCCACTCGCGCTCTCCTCCAATCGTCTGCTCGGTGCTAATTACCCTCTCTGATAGATTATTTTTAATTTCAGAGCTTGCTGTCTCCAAAGCACCATATTAACTCACTGTTTAAGACTTGTTTTAAATTTATTGAGCAGCTGTTTGCTGGGTAACTTAAAAAAAAAAACAGGAACATTGCGCCTGTTGATCTTTGTGGTGAGGGGTTGGAGAGGAGCAGGAGTTTTCACTTTCTTACCGTGAGCAGAAAGAAAAAAATAATTTCAAATAAAGAAATATCGATACAGTGCACTTGACTCTTGCCTGGAATACAAATCAATGATAACGAGTGTATTTCCTGAGGGAAGAATAACCCCAGTGATCAACTGTGATTTATGTCTGTGAAGCTCCTCACAGTCTGTGATCATTTCAGACAGTCTAGAATTATGTTTAAAAATGATGGACTATATGTTAACATACAACTTCTTATCCGCTGGGTGTTTTAATGGTTCGTTTGTACTTGTGGATGCCAGCAAATATTTCTTTCAATGTCAAGGAATCTCAGTACATTTCCCATGACCAGGGAGTGTCAACAGCGCAGACCAAGATGCCACTGAAAGCAACAATCAAGTTAGCCGTAGTCTATATATGAGGCTGGGTTTTGAGTTCCAACATCCAATTTTAAAGGGATTTTATTTGTAACTCATTAAACTTGAACTGTAGGTTTGCCGTAACTTAATTGAGTTGTTCTTTTTTAAATACTGACTCATAAGCAGATTCTCTATGTTTCCTAGTTGGACAGTCATCTTTATTGCTCATGAAAATAGCCCTTTTCACACATGCACTTTCCCAGAGTTGCTCTTTTACACATGTCCCTCACAGTGAGAGATTGTCATTGTTTGCAAGAAAAGTCGCTTTCACATATATTTTATATTTCTATTAAATATTTCAGGCAGGCTGCCCCTGATATCCTCTTCACTAGCTTGTTCACGCATGCACCTCACAGCAGTAGAATATCCCTGTCAGACGGGAGGGGGAGTTTTAGGAGGAAGTGCATGATGTAAAAAAAAACAAAAAACGCTGCTGTGGTGGAAGAAGCAGCAGAGTCTGATGCTATGAGGATAATTTATGCCCTTGGTCCAATAATATCATTGCTACATATATTTCAAATCTTATGAGGCAGTTTCATAACGTGCACAGAGATAGCATCGGGCATGCAGTTTATGGTCCTTTGTTGGCCGCGTTAAAGAAACAACACCTTCACCCGACCACTCACTTGCAGTGAATTTGAGAATAATTCTGATTAAAGTGGGAGTGAAAAAATGTGGCTGTTTGGGTTCACACATGCAGCTCACCCCGAAAATTTTGGGCAGTTTTCAAAAGTTTTGTGCATGTGTGAAAGCACCAACATTGGAATGCCTACAACATATCCAAGATGGCTGATGAAGCAACAGAGTCTTTATATCACTGCTACATGTCATTGGACATAATCACAGTATAAACAAAAGAACGTACTGGCAGTCAGAGTAGGAAGCAGCTGAACTGTTCCGTGAAGATCTCATTGGTTTTACAACAGTTCCATGTTTAAGTTCACACATGCAGCTCACTACTAGATCTTTTCTTATTTTATTTCCCAGAGTGAAGTGCATGTGTGAAAGGGGCTCATGTTAAAACCTGGTCACTATTAGATGTGCTCTTGCTGCGTTTAAAATCTGTCTGAAGGTTTCAGGAGGACCAGACTTACCTGCCAGAGCAGATGAAACAGGATGTTACAGTTTCCTCTGGTTTCCAGATTAACTGTAAAGGTCGTCAGTGTGGAACATCACATAACTCTTTTTTTTTTTGACAGTATTATGAGCAAGATTTACACAAGTGGTTTAACTGTAACTAGAAATGACAGCATAGTAAAAAAGTAATTTCTGGGAAGAGTGAGCAGAAGTTACAACCTTATGAACAGCTTTTTATGAAGTATTACATTCATACTGTCCGGATCACAGTCTGGTTCTATCTGCTCACTAGATAACGACACTTTTTTTTATAAACATTCTAAACAAGGATAAACTCAAGTTTGTTCTCCTGACAGTAAACTTTATTTACATTCATGGAAAATAGTCGTTAAGTGAAGCCATTCTTCTTTGTCTAATTCACTTTAATTAAAAGCTTTACATGCATTCTCGTACTATTCAACATCTTTTCACACTCCTTCCTTTCTCCTCCAGACGAACAACTGGTTTGCGAGCGCACACTGAAGTACTTCCTCGGCATCGCAGGCAGGAAGTGGGTTGTGAGCTTCCAGTGTAAGTCCTCCTGACTCCCATACAACACTAAGTCTAAACACAGAACGGCATGAAGTGGAGGCATGGTCTGGAATAAAAGCAGTGTTACATAATACTCTCCCCGGCAGAAGAGGGTATGTGTTTCTGACAATAAGCTCATGAGCTCTTGTTCCTCTCTGCAGGGATTTCAGAGTGCTTCAAGCAAAAGAAACTCTTAGACGAGGTACGCTCGCCTGTTGTCTTCACTCTGTGTGTCTCCATGTTGAATTAAGGCTGCATGATGAATCTCTCCATGTGGTTCGCTGTGATAACTCATCAATTATTTGACATCCATTTGCTTGAGTAATCCCTGCAACTTGTTCTGAGCTGTGCAAAGTATAATCCCTCTCCAGATTTTGTTTAATATCTCTATTCATTCTAAAACTTTTTCTCAGGTTAGTTATTAGCATTTAGAAGCATCGTATCGTGTATGTAGAGAAGGAAGCCATACAATAATAATAAACTGTCAGACTGAAGGATGCTCTGTGTACTCATGAGAGCATTTTTAGGCCCTCGGAAATAAATTAGATTACAGTAAATAATTGCTTCAATGATTTAAAAGTAAATAGCATCCACAGTTGCATACCTTTGGGATTAATGCTCTTCTGCTTAATGTACAGATACTGAAGTCGTTTGCTTTGTTTGCTGACAGAGCGTCTATGAAGTCAGAGGTGACGTCGTGAACGGGCCGAACCACCAGGGCCCCATGAGAGCTCGTACCACTGACAACAATAATGTGAGTCTCCTCCACACTGTATCTAACATCTACAGTATCTATTAAGGGTGGGACCAAATATCAAAGCGGCAATATAAAAGTTAAAAACCAAAATCAAAGAGGCTCTTTTCTTTCACCTGCATGCAACTTAAAGGGTTTTGACTTCTAGTTTGACATTATTTACACCGTTAACACACGAAGAGACACATCAACACAACAAAGAAGGGGTGGGAGGTACATGAAGTTTAATTAAAGCTGTAATATTTTACCTTTTAACTTTTTCAAACATGTCTGAGATACATTTAAATAAATTATGGAAAATAACAGAACAGAATTAATTTTGTTTCCTGAAGTATTTTTTAAGGAATACCAACTAAATCAGCATGAATGAAAGTTAAAGTTCAGAAACAAATCAACCCTGACTAATTCTCAACTGCAGAAAAATCAAAAATGAATGCTTACCACGGAGTAAAAATCCATTTATTTCTGTCAATAGCGGAGAATGTTGCACTCATTAATTACCCTGCTGGCTGATGGAGGGAAAAAAAGGTACATAGCCTTAGGTCTGGTTAACTTTAGTCCATCAAGTACTACTTTTTAGTACTGATCACTGTGACATCAATTCTTCATTTTCACATTTATTTGTATAAATATGAATCTGAAGCGTTAAAGTTTTATGTTCTAGCTTGTGACCGTCTGTGTCTGTGGGCAGGTAAACACGATCAGGTGCATTAAGAGTTCATGTTCCGTTCATCCGTCATGCAGCGAGCAAGAGCTCAATGAGAGAAGAGAAATTGTTGCTTGGCAAGGCAAGCTGCTGAATACGATGGGAGTATATAAGAGCAGTATTTTTAAACTCATTGCCTTAGAAACGTTATACAGTGCTAAAAAACCAAAGTCCTTAAATGAAAGAGACATTAAAGTTATAGCCATTAAAAGACAGATCGTATTGTGAGGCTTAATGATACATCAGGTTTCTGTCCAGAGTCATACACAGAGAAACACAATTATACTGTTCCTTGTCAATCCCCAAACTAAGAGCATTCCCTTTTTAAAGAATAAAAACCGAGCCATACATTCACTGAAGAAGCTCTTCTTTTTCTAATGTTTTGAAGTGAATTCAAGCTGTTTGCTTGACATTGTTTTCTAATTGTCTGTTAAAATATTAGTCCATTCTGTCAGATTATTCTAATAAATAACCTTCTTTTATAGCATGAATGTCAAGATTAATCATAAACAAACAACAAAAGGGTCTAAAAACTTAACAGACATTAGTCTAGGGATGATTTTGTAAGTGTAATTCTGTTTTATGTGAATGTTTTCATACTCATGTTTCTGAAAACAACCATCTGAATAAATAGGAGTCAAATACTCCTCACAGGAGCTTTAAATGAAAAAAAGATCCAGAAACATTCGTCTAAACATAGAACCTTTTAGTGGAAGAAAAGATCTGAAATGAAATACATAACAACACTAACTTCCTGTTCAGTGTCTGACCCCAAATAGAAGTCTTACTCTGTGAAGAAAATCAAATAAAGTGCCCCAATAACGAACAGCACATATACCTATTTCTTCCTATTGCACCATCCTCTCATCCTCTTCTTAGCTCAGGCCATGTTGTAAAAAAAAAAAGAAAAAGCTAATTGTAAGTTCGCTCCTGGTGTAAGGCCAGCAGCTCCAGTTCTGTTCCCACTGATGGGGAAAATTAGAAATGGCTGGATGTCATGTCGGCTGTATCCCTGCCTTTTGAAGGAGCTCTGCTAATTGAATTAGTCTGTCATTTCAGGCTCCTTTAAACGGCTTCAACACATTCACAGCACTCCGATGGAGGCAGACAGATTGTCCCGTTCGTACTCGCTCTCCGTCATCTGCTCTGCTCTGACAAACAGACTCGGAGGTTAAAAATGAGGAGCCAGGACTCTGTCACCTGAATGTTGATGCACAAGAAATCTGTCAAAGACGCAGTGTGTGTGTGTGTATGCACGTTATCACACACTTTAATACCCCCCCCCCCCCCCGAAGGACATTAGGTGTTGTCTAAATTAAAAATCAGTAACAGAAACACTTTTTCATCTCAGCAAGCACCTCTGGCTAACGATCGTTATGGAGGTGTGAGAAATTAGTATTTCTCTCTCCAGCTGCTTGGACATTTATCTTCCAAACACTTCCATCCAGCCGCCCTCGCTATATGAGACTGTGAGGTGAGATGCACTTTTCCTTTTGGGTAGTTACCACAGTTCAAGGAAAGAACTTTACATTCCCATTTCAAGCCGTGTTATTGACCCTGAGTGCAATAAAACAATGTGTCTGTGTGCCAGGGCGGGTCGTTTTTCTTAGAGCACTACAAGCGGGACGACTATTACCTCGGTGGTTGCTCTTACTGTTCAACTCATCACTGAATTTACTGTTTTGCACGAGGCTTGTGGATGTTTTTAACACACTTTAGTGAGGAGAACCTGCAATGAACTGCAAGATGTACTTGGTGACGTATCGGTGTAACCCTTCAGAGTGAAAGAGTTCAGGAACAATACAGTGCTGTGTTGTCAAAGCTGTTTCATAGAACTGTATTATTGAACTATTTTCTGAGGGTTAAGTCTACTGAAGGAACATCCTTTTTGATCAACATCTCACATAAAATCATTTGAACCTTTTTCTTTCTTTTCTCGTCTTTTTTAGCTGCTCATGAACGGCTACAAGATCTGCATCCAGGGCACTTTTACGGACATGACCACAGGTAAACACATCAGATTTAATGAAAATGTTATGACAGAGAAGTTGGTAAGAGAGACATGATTCCATTATCGCAACCAAAACCGGACAAATCTTAAGGTTTGATGTTGATTCTGTTGAAAACTGAGATTTGAATTGATTAGATTTGGTGATTTAAGAGATTGTTTTGGTTTAAAGACTTACTTGCTTTCATAATGTGGCGTGTTACTGCAATGGGGGGGGGGGCTTAAAACAAGGCTTAAAATTTCAGCATTTTATATGTATGAAACAAATATATGACGATTCAGTTTGTGCTCTTTGGAGAAACTGGTCGGTGGATTTAGTTACATTAATAGGGCTTTCACACTTCCAGACATGTCCTAAAAATCTAATATTTCCAGGAGTAGCTGTATGTGCGAACACAAACAGCTGAATGTTTCGCTCGGACTTCACTTGGAGTTTCTCCTGCCAAGGTCACCCTAGTATTTTTTCCGTAGCGAGTCCAATAACGCTGATGTGAAAACGCAGCAGGATATTCTCCGGAGAATTCACCTCCAGCCAATGGGACTGGGACTCGGTATAAAAAGTGTAAGCTGTGATCTCAGTGCACGTTATTAAAAGGTTTCATTCCGTTTTCTGTTCGTCACGATGTTCTCCTCCGCTCTTTTGTTGATAGTGTGATTCCAGGCAAATCATATTGGGGACTCTGTTGCTTGATCCGCTACTTCCGCGTCTGTTTTCTTATGTCATGTCTTACCTCAGGGGACCCCCCCCCTCCACCCCCCCTCCTGTCTGACAGGGTGTGAGGTGCATATATGAACAGCCAGGTCAAGAGCTTATCTTGAGCAGTCCTGATGAAGTTATCTTTTCAGGAGTGCACATGTGAAGACGGCTTAGATTCCTAATGCTAAGCTAACCTGAACCTGCATGTAGCTTCATATTAAGCCCCAAGATGTAAAAGTTTTATAAACTGAATGTTGAAGTTTGTACATTTATAGTTGAATTACACATAATAAAACAGCTCATATTTTGAGGTGAGGTTCTCCTTTTTGATTCATGAAAATATGAAGGATCCTTTTAAACTGGACAGATTTTCCCCAGATCTCCAGCACACTTTGCTAATGTGTTGCAAAGTCCTGACATCAGTTCCCGGTTCATGCAGTGAAGTCAGCATTTAAAGTGTAGATATTGATCTCATTAAGATAAGCACACAGGCGTCCTGCAGTGACACCAGTCAGTGAGCTGTTTTTTTTTTTTTTTTTTTTTTTTTTTTAATGTGTTTCAATTATCTGAGCATCGGGAACTTACACTCTCTATTGAGCTCTGTAAAAAAACAACTGTGAGGTCTGGGGAGTTCTGTGAAATAGAGACGTAATATTTCTATTTCTTTTGCAAAATATAAAAATCTATTAGTTTCCTCTTCTGAAGTTTTTATTCAGAATAGTGTTACAAAGAAAAAAAGATAAAGCTCTCACCCTCTACAGCCACAGTTTAATTTTTCTATCATGTGTGTTTTTCTTGTTTGTGTTGCACTGAACAGAAATTAAAAAAATGTGGATATTGTCTTTGATCACTACACAAAAAAAACAAGAAATGTTCCTTCTTTGTGTGCGCATGTTTTCAAATACCCGACTACGATTCCTCTCAGGCTGTTTGCCCTATTCTGCTTTCTCCATCAAAAAGGACTTTTCAGAATAAACACTTATTCACTTTTATTGATGTCGGTTTCCTGCAGGACTCTGTTAGACGTCCATTTAAAAGAGAAAACAACAATAAAGAAAAAAAAGAAGGGCACTTCACAGAGGTTTTGACTGACACAGCTTGAAACCTGTGCTGTTTTTTTTATTTTTTTAACCCCTGTCATTTCAGCACTAGAGAACGATGACAGGTGTTTCCAGAGTGTGGGTGCATTGAATACAGATTAAGGAGTTGTGTGAGACATTTTTTGGTGAGGTTTTGTCATATCGCACAGCGGTTGCTATGGTGTCAGTTAGCTGGGATGATTTTTTTTCTTGTAAAACAGAAGAAATGGACCTTCAGTGATTACCAAAGTGCTCTTGCTGTTGTCAAAAAAAGATCAATATCAGATTTTGAGACAGTTAAAAAAAAAAAACTATTAAGAAAGGGGGGGAATAAACACTTTTTACCAGTATGTTGGAACCATTACATTACATCTTTGAACTGGAGTGCAGATGTAATCCTTGTGTGGCCTTAGGTAGCTGCTTATTAAACAGACTGAAATAAGGACTGGCCAATAAACCAGGATATACAGTAAGAATTTATATTGATAGAGTTTATGTTGCGTTACAATATTGTTATGTTTCTTCCAATGAGCTGCCAGTTTGTGTATTTTTCCTCTCACTGTCTCTCACCCTGTTCTCTGTCTCTCTCTCTCTCTCTCTCTCTCTAGCAAGACTCAAACACTACCTGAATACCGTATTTTCCGCACTATAAGGCGCACCGGATTATAAAGCGCACCTTCAATGAATGGCCTATTTTAGAACTGTTTTCATATATAGGGCGCACCGGATTATAAGGCGCATAGAATAGAAGATACTGCAGTCAAACGTTTGACTGGGGTTGCGTTATGCATCCACTCCTCTTCTCCCAAACGTGGAGGGGAACTTTTCCCTGATTCAGTAAACACGTAGTAAAAGAAACAGTCTGATACCACTAAATCAAACGTTGCATTCACAATATAGTAACTCTCGAAATTGTTCATTCATTAGTGCATTCACAATAACTCAACGTTATTCAAATGTTAATGTGCATATTCACAATATCTCCCAGCCTTGTTCAGTTGTAAACACGTAAAAGAAACACAGTCTGATACCGCTAATTCAAACGTTAGTGCGTAACTCAACATTGTTCAGTTACGTATAACACGTAAAGCTCACTTTTTCAGTTCATTCCCCGTCCACGAATCCCTCGAATTCTTCTTCAGTGTCCGAATTGAACAGTTGGGCGAGTACGGCATCCAACATGCCCGGCTCCCTCTCGTCATTATCCGAGTCAGTGTCGCTGAGCGCCGTGTACAACCAGTATGGATCAACCAATTAACCAATTGATCCATATATAAGGCGCTCCGGATTATAAGGCGCACTGTCGTTTTTTGAGAAAATTAAAGGCTTTTAAGTGTGCCTTATAGTGCGGAAAATACGGTAACATGAATTTACATTTGCTGTGTTTAAGGAGCATTCGCATTCATTCTTCATTTCACTAACGGGTTGTTCAAAATCCCCACAAACTGAAAGTTCCTTCTGGAGCTTTTCTGTTTGGATTGTGCGTCGACCTTCAAAGGGTTCTCAGAGGTCTTCAGATTGAAGGGGGTGGTGGGGGGGGGGGGTGGAGGGAGTCCTCTATCATGTCATGTCATATCATGTTACCTAGCTGGTGTGCAGTGTCTACCACTGACTGCTCAGGGGTGACGCTCTGCCACATGTGCTGCAGAGTTTTTCATTATACAGCTGAATTGAATACTTGATTCTGATTGGCCTAACAGAATAATCATGCTTAAGAAGAATAAACCATCTCTATGCAGAGCAGACGATTGCTAGGGACACAGTTCTAATCACAGCATCTTGAGGACTAAGTGTAATCATTTCCATCTGAGGAAAGAAACCTTGTTCGTTTAACGTCAGCGTGATTACTTTGAGGGAAAAGAGAAAAGAGAAGAATACAGCGATGATAATGGTCGAGAAATCTATAAAACTGCATGTAAATGAATGAAACATTTAACTGAACATGGTATGGGATACGGGGACGTTTAGAGACTGTTGAATGGAAAAGAAATAGTCAACAGGCTCCTCCAGTGAGCTGACGTAAAGAGTCAGTCAGGCGCTGCACTGATCCATGTGGACCCGTTCACCTCGTCTCGCTTCACAATCAGTGGAAATATTTTGTTAACCGTTAATAAAGCTATTGGTTAGGGTCTTAACTCACACCGTATGGATTCCTTTGCTATAACAACTGGCTCACTTTATTTCACCTCCTAAATAAACCATCGACTTGCAGCATGCCCGTCTGGAAAAGTTGCATTATTACAGAGTTTCTAAATCAGCTTGAGCTCAATCATTAAACATGCTAATGTGGCTTACATTTCATAGCTCCGCCCACCAGTTAGTTTAGAACTGAAGAAGCCTCTCAGAGGAGAGGTGGAACATCTGCAAGATCTTCAACCAAGTCCAGTTGCCTTTTGGATCAAGTTTCAAAATCACCTTGAGCCTTTTCTCATACATTACCTTTTCTTTAAAAAGCATCAGGGTACATGAGCTGATACCAACATATCTGTGATAGGCTCGTATTGATACTGATGGTATCAGCTGATCTAGATCTCTGGTCCTATAGCTTCTGCACTGACTCAGTCCTGATATTTAAACTGCAAAAGACTAAAGTAGAAATTTAAAAGTTGCCCTTTATGCAAAATTCTTCATTACTTTATCCTTCATGAATGACTAGACGTATAGATCATGTGTGAAGGTCTCATGGGAGCCATCGCTTGAAAACCCTCGAGGCAGCAGTCTTCGGTTTCCTTCTTCCTGGAGCTCTTAAAAGTGCTCCTGCAGCACCATCCTCCCGCTGCCCGCTCGATCGATGAAGCTTTGCTAATGGCTCGACATCTGCTAGCTTAGCGTGAGGAACTTTAAAGACTTTTTTTTTTTTCTTACGTGGCATAAACATTAGGATGGAGTCTGTTTTTCTTCAGCCCAACACGATTCATCCATCATTGAATTGCTCACATTGTTGTATGTAAATTGATGAGGTTTTGGAGTTGCACAGAAAATACCGCGAGAGGATTGAGGTTTTCCTGACTCCAGAGTTCTCGTGTTCATGGCGAGGGAAGATGCTGATTTGAGAAAATGTTAAGGTGTGTAGCGTGTCTGATATGAAATGAGACACAACTATGAACACATTTACTCCAAACCGAGTTAAACATGTGCTGACTGATGGAGTAAAATGGACATATTGATGTGACTGGACTTGTTTATTGACCTGTTTTCCATCCGAACGATCAAAAGGAAGTCTGCGTATAAAACGAGTCTGCTGCCACGTATTCCCTCGGGTTAAAGGGATGAAAGTGGAGAAGAGACGGTCACCACTCAATGCCAACCATCATGTGCATGTGTGTGTTGCAGATGAAATGGAGTGGATGGTGGAGCTCTGTGGAGCAGCTGTGGTCAAAGATCCTCTTCAGCTCGACAGTAAACAGGTAAGAGAATCGAGCCTCTCCAACATGAAAAGTCGTAAAAGTGTCATTTATGTGTCATGCTTGAAGAGATTGGTGGTATTTAAAGAGTTTGGAAGTGAGAAATTAAAAAAAACAGAGAGTCCTTCTCATGAAACTCTTTCTCATGATAGGGTTTAGCCCACCAATGATACAAAGTCATGGACTTGGCAATCCTGGTCTGCCTGTGATCTGTCAGACTAGTTTAGTTGTACTTGAAATCGGTGTCTTGGTCTCAAGACCGGTCTAGAGACTACTTTTTGAAGGTCTCGGACTTGTATCTATCTTAATTATTTTTACTCGGCCTTGTCTCGGTCTCAGTCTAGGTGGACTCCGGATTTGTAAATCAAGTCCGCGTCATTACTGTGATTAGAAGGAAATTGAACAAATAACTTCTATTCATAGTTAGATTTGTATCCCCCTGTTACAGTTATAGACATTGAAAAAAAGCAGCACGAATCCCCCTATTCCGATCACAAACAAGGTAACTAAAACCCATTAACCACCAAGTTTCAGCCAAGAGATTATAGGAAAATATCATCTGACAGGCCGTGCTAGATATAAGCATGAAGTATGTCGTACAGCTACACTTGTAACGTTAATTAATCCATCATTTTCACCTTTTTGTTGCACAGAGGTCTCATCAGATGATCATTGTGCAGCCTGGATCAGACTCGTCGTCATCTTCATACAGCAGTGAGTCTTGTCTGAACATACAATATCAAATTCGACTGCTTCTATGTTAACACACACACACACACACACACACACACACACACGCACACAAACGAGCTCATACAGAGTTTATAAATATAGAGATGAGAGTGACAGGAGCAGCAGAGGCTGATTGCTCACTTCATGAAAGGTTTCACCCGAGGTTTGAGTCTGGCACGGGCAGAAAAGCACAGAGTGTGCGCTCTGGAGCGCTTGCATGATGGAGGTTTGTGCACTGAGAAGAAAAACTATGAACGTTCGTCCTGTTTCCATGACAACAGTCTGTTGACGATATCCTGTATGCCAGACACTGCTCTGACGCTTTGAACTGTATGTTTTTTTTATTTGAGATCGTATTTACCCAAGCAGACATTGAGCAATGGGGATGTGGGTACAAGACACGATCCGTGGTAGACAAAAATACGAGGAATATCATACATTTGGGGGGGGGGGAGCGCAGGTGACGTCAACAATACACTTCTGAAAAGTAGAAATATTTTCAACTCAAAACCTTCGGAGGAACTACACAAAAAGGCTGGATGCTGCGCTTCTTCTTCGGGCAGCCGCCTGCTGCTGCAACCACACTGGCGCTCAGAAAAAAACGCTAGGTGGACACAAGGCCTGAGGCTATCAATCATTAGCCAAAGCAGCACAATTTTTTTGATAGTTTGAAATTGGTTAAGCTATTAAAAGGTGAAGCTCCAGGCTAGTGTTAAGATGATTCATTCTTAGAGACGACTTCAATTCAATATCATAAAAATCAATTCTGTAACCTCAAAATATCTTCACTTTATCCACAAGCTAATATCAGTGACGTCCTTTTTTTTAATAAAGTAATGAATCATTTTACTCTAACTGGTTGATGCATTGTTTAAGTTCAGACTTCTTTTATAAATAAACCATACATGAATACACGGTCCCCACAAGCATAGATATTCTGTCTGGTGTGCATGTGTCTCTGCACATGTCTTTCCATGAGTTCTCAGATTTGAATGCGTTTGTTCTTCTGAGGACCAATTGGGAAGTGACACAGCAGTGAAATGGCAGATGCTGCCAGCCAAAATCAGACAGGTACCTCAGCATGAGCGGAGAAGGGGAGTGACTCGCAGAGAAAACGAGTGTGAAAGAAGTGTTGCAGCGGAGAAATGGCCGAGAGAAAATGTCAAAGTAGAGCGAGGGGGAAATGTCAGAACACGTTGGCCACAGAAAGAAGAGGCTGCCGTAGCACAAGGATAGCTGACAGTTTGAAACAAAGCGAGAGTAAGTGGCTCTGAGTCTCACCCCCTCCTCCAACCTCCTCCTGGCATCCCAATTTGCACTGCTACATATTTAATGAAGCTTTTCCACGTCCTTCGGCACAGGTAATCGAGAAGCCCGTCACCCCCTCCCTCCTTCTCTAGCCGCCCTTATCATTTTCTTCTGAACCATTGATTGAAATCACACACAGCTCTGTTTCTCTTTCAACTGTTTTCTGATGAAATCGAAACGTGTGACTTTTTTGTGCACTCTCTAGCTTGTGTAAGAAATATTGTGGACATGTTGGTTCGGGTTTTAACCTTAGCGCACTATGCTGATTTCTGTGAATTCTACTGATAGGCCAAGATCTGTTTGTTTGTTTGTTTGAATGAAAATGAAATAAAATGTTTGTGCACCTGGTTTGGAACTTAAAGCTCTTAACGTTGTATCTTCCTGTTACTTTGGATGGGATTTGATGTGGTTAGTGGGCTGGAAGAACGTCAAGCTTCACCAGCTTCAAAATCTGGTTTGTAGGTGATAAAGTAGGGATGTTCCTATTGACTAATTTCCCTGTTGTTTAAAAGCAATTTAAAATCAGACTTGGCAACCAATCTACTGTTAAGAAAACAATCAAAATGAGCACAATTTGTTTATCCAGTCGAGTGGTTAACAAAGACACACATGGGATCACAGAGTCAGCGGCTAAACAATGACAAATTGGTTTGCTGATTGTTGCTAATGTTAGCATAGCTATTACTGCCAGCCTTTGGTATTAATCCTCATTCCTGTGCTGTTTCAGAGTTACTCCAGTAAAGTAGTTGTCTGCCTTTTTAACCTGACACAGCCCACACACAACTTTATCTCCATTTCAATTTTCACATTAAATTGCCCCATGCTACCAGATGCCATTCGTCCAGTATCCTAGTTTACATCCAGCTACTGCCCCAGCTAGTGGTGGATAGCTGCGTTACAGCTTAGACACAACAACCATCCTTGAGGACCTGAATTATTGAAGTTTTAATAATTAGTTTAACCGACCAGCAAAGATGTTGTCGTGTAATCGTTTGGTCGGCTAATTGCCCACATCCCTATTTTAAAGTGGAACTTTTATAGTGAAATAAAAAAAAAATCAAAATCTTGAATTGGCAAAAGAAATGGATGAAAAATGACAAGACAGGACAAAAATTCAAAAGAAAAGCCTAAAAAATATTTTGAAATGCAAAATAATGGAATTTCAAACATGCAATTAATAGCAATGAACTTTGAACTGATTAATTACGATTAACTGTTCAAATACAGTAATTAATCGTAACTGTTGAAATTCAGTGATTAATATTGATTGTAACATTTGACCGATTGGCAGCTATATTAAAAAAAAAAAAACTTTGTGTCTGTTCAACAGGTCTCTCCAGACGAGCTGCAGTTGTAACACGTGGTTGGTTGTTGGATACCGTGGCAACCTACACCCTCCAAAACTACAACAAGTATATAACATGAGCTGGGAAGCAAATTCATCGTACCAGCAGCCAAACATCTTCTTCTCATCTTACATTTTTTACAACTTCTTTTTTAATGTATAACACTGTGATTAAACAGTCATCCATCTGTGTTGATCACTTAAAACTATGTGTATTGTGTGTGTGTGTGTGTGTGTGTGTGCATGACATATTGTATATAAAGTATAATCTATGAAAAGACCCTTGAGTCTCTGATTGTTTTTATTTGTTCTATGAACTGAAGTACACACAGCTAAAAAATGCACTATCATAGTTATAAAAACCCTGATAACACGATGCCTAAATCAGCAGAAAAGCTTTACTGCTAATAATAAAGTTCAGTTTAAAATGCTTTATACTTCCAAATACACCAACAGGTAAAGTCAAACACTGATGAATGTATGTTTAAACACTACAAACATGTGATCCTTAAGGGATTTGTAAGCCTATAGTTGTTTGAGTGCTGAAATAGTTGTGCAAGAAATGTGAGAAGGTTTCACCTCCTTAGAAACGTTCAATAATGGATGGTATAGTAACATTAAGAGTCTATAAAAGAGGGTATATTTAAATGAATTTAGGGAGTGCAGATCTTGCTGAGGTAAGCTTCCTTAAAGAGCAAACAAAGGTCATGCAAAATGGAATCCTTTTCACCATGCTCAATATCGCACTTTGGGATTTTAAAAGATCCACTCCCGGTGTCTCCTGTCGGATGCAATGCACTTTAATAAGCTCTTGTCATTCCTGTTTGTTGATTGCGCGACTGTTGTTTACAAATCCTCGGTGTATCGCAGCTTTCTGGTCGGGGCGGAGAGCCTGTAGAGTTCCTGAACGTGTCCTGGATGTGGCGACATGCTCTGCACAGAGTCGTCTTGAATAATTGAACAGCCATTGTGTGGGAATCAAATGAGACAGGGGAGATTTACAGGAGTGGGCTGAAACCTGACCCCTCTGTGTGTGCTCTGCACCAGCTTACAGGAGAATGAGATTTGAGAAGATACAATGTGCTTGTCAGGTTTGTCAAATAAAAACAATTCAAGTAGAGAAGATGGTGCAGCACTAAGACTTGTTTGTGTGGATAAAATGTATGTGATAGGTATAATGCATCTAAGAGGTTTTCCCCCTTTGCAAAAATAGATTGAAATCCTCTTATGTGAATTCAATATAATGTTAATATGACATTATTTTTGGTTGATTGTATCCTTGGTAAATCTGTTAATTATTTGGTGATGTCTTCTCCTTGTGTTATTAAACCAAAGACCAAAAAGCCCTCAAGATATTTAGTTGACTTTGACATAAAACAAAGAGAAGATGAAAAATATCAAAATTAAAATGATGAAACAAGGCCAAAGACTTTTCTCTCTTTTGACTGACTGATAAATTAAGTATTCACTTACACGTTTAAGATCCGGATGAGATTTAAGGTAGCAGTCAGCACAGATGCACGTTGATCATTGTCATCACCCGACTCGACGGCCATGACTAAAATGAGAAAGGACACCAAATAACTGCAAACAACACTGATTAATTGTAAGAAAGTCAACTAATGACATGAGAACTACAAACATGGAGTGTGTCTGTCATCATCATCATCATCATCATCTTTATTGCCAGACTCAGGAGTCCATTAGAAGACATAAAAAACAAGCAAAATAAAAACACATACAGGCAGACAAAACATCACCAATATTATAAAAGACAACTGTACCAGTGTCGCCACAAGGATGACTGGCATCGCACAGAACTATGACTGGGATTAGTCAACAGCATAATGATGGAATTCTGAGAATCCTTTAATCGTCAGATACATTTGTACATTAAGTTTCTCATAAGAGCCTGAAAAGTGTTAACTCCTGCATTACAAAATAACTCACTTGTTATAGTCCATGGAGGTTTTTTAAACAGTATTCTCAGGGAGTCATTATATGCAACTTTAAGCTTTCAGTAAGGTCAGTAGTGTGAATGTGGATGTTGTGAAGCAAAGTTGAACAAAGTCTGAATGGTGCAATTGGTGATCGATGTGAGTCCATGTGGCATGAGAAAGAGAGAGAGAGAGAGACACCCTGGGGTCGGGCTTTTATGCAACAGGCTCAGGCTTTCTAAGTTGTTACCAGTCCAGTCCTTTAGGAATAAGAGAGACAGAACCAGTTAGCCTGGTATTAAGCCAAGGCAGTGACCGTCACAATCATCAGTACATGTAGTCTACTCTATACAAAAGTACAACCACAAGACAAACACACTGTCACACTGTCTGGAAACATTTATATTTAGAGATATCGCTTAAGTAACGTCCACTGGTGCTTCAAGACTAAATGTTCCAGCGTATCACGATATGTGACAACTCAGACTTTCTAACACCATTGGAAAGCCGAAGCTTGAGTTAAGTGTAACATCTTAATGCTGTTAGTGTCCCTAAAGTACACAAATAGACAAAGTGAATTCAAACGCTGCAGTCAATGAAGCTTCTTGGTCTGACCTCGTTTTTACACAGCCACATTCTCGGCTGTTTATTTGCCCGTCTAGATCTCAGTGAGGTGCACAGCATTCTTAAACACAGCTTGAGTGTGTCTGGCCTTCGTTTTATCGCAAATCTAATAGAGCTGTTACGTTGAGCCACTCATTTTTAAGTGAGTGTGACTTTGATAGGTGGGTTGACAGGTTTGTGATGACATTACAGAAACAATTCTTTTGTTTTATGCTATTGTGATCCACAACTTACCCCCCCCCCCCAATACACCCTATCTGGACTTATATATCTATACATATTGCAATAATGAAAGCAACAGCAAATTTAAAAGCAGAATTTTTATATAACACCTAATATTTCCTACAATCTCAAACAAATCCTGTATGTTCCAATTTCTGCAACTGTTTCAAGTTTCATTCAGAAATTCAGTTCTTTTGTTTTGCATACATGACAAATGAGACCGCGTACAACATGTTGACAATGTTTCTCTGCATATGGAAAACATGCCCATTAATAATGTATGTTTCTACTTATAGCACTAAGTCAACATCCCTCAGGATGTGTTTGTGGTTCGTACAGTTGTGGTTATAATCTATGCAGAGCTAATGTTGTGGGGAAATCATATCCCTGAAACCGTAACCCACAAAGACACTGTGGAAATGAGGGAAAGAGGGAATGTTTAAAGGGCAGAGCAAGTGCAGGAAAACACATTAATCCTGCAGCTAATACCAACTGTTCAAGTAGAAGGAGCTTAGAACAATTATGCCTCCAGGACATGACTCTACTACTCCACATGGACTCTGTGGAGACATAGACTTGAAGGCGCACGTGGTCAGTATATTCAGTGTATCTGTAAAGTCTTCTAGTGCCAGTTGTCTTGGTTTGAAAAAAAGTGTATAAAAAGGGTACAAAATAAACCTCGAGCAACATCGAGACAATATCTTCCAAATCTGTTCTTATACTGCAGATTTGATGAAGTTGGCCTCCAAAAGCAAGTTCCTAACATTATCTATAAATGATCATCATAATCTGCTCTGTGTTTTGTGTTGGAGGCAAGCATGAATACAAACGCTGCATTCGGTGTCATTCATTATGAAGACAACAACCCAGGTGGCTGAAAATAGAGAGAGAGCCCGCACGAAACAGTAATGTCAGCACGTTCGCTTCGAGGCCTTTTGAATGCCAGATGTTCGGTGCCAGACGCCACAGCGCCAGGACGCTGCTTTCCTCCAGTCAGCTGATTTTTCCAGCGCTGTGCTGCGGCGGGGGCATACACTCTGTTTCTCTGTATGTGTTACAGTGTGATACGGCGCAGAGGCTCACAATGCAGCTCTGTGCTTTCTCTTACTGTACGCTCAACTGAATGGATTTAGTAAGAATGTATTTTTTTGTTTTTGTTTAATAGACATAGAAACAAGGGTTGGTGACCTTCTGCGGGCCAATTCTAATTACCAGCAGTCACATGACAACTCACTTTAATGCTCTACATGATGTAAGAGAGATTTTATCACTTTTAATTAGACAAACGTGCACAGGACAATACATCTATCCTTATTTCATGTCTATAATCCATGGAAAACCCCCCCAATACTCTCAGTCCACAGCTGTGTTAGCATCGCCGTGAGCATTTAGCGTTTGAGTCTACGCTGTAAGTCCGTATAAGACCGAGCATATGTTAACCGCCATGAGCCTTTACACTTTGAATTTGCGCTAAATGTTAATTCTCACAATAACAATAACAATTGCAACATGGTTTTGTTTACTATGCTCACCACAGCGTGTCAAAGGCACCATTCGCTAATTAGCACTGATACATTGTATGCCCGAGGCTGATGGGAATGTTTGTAGTTTTGCAAGTATTTTGATAAAAACCAAGTGCTCAAAATAAAAAAGTACCAAAATTTCTCACTTCAACTTGAAGTGAGAAATATTTTATGCATCAAATGTAATGGAAATAGAAAGACATTTTACTTAAAACAAAGAAACTACACTGTATATGTCCACAGTGTTAAACTTTAAGACTGATAATTGTAGACTTATGGCAGAAAAATGTAATGATATATTTCATCAGATTCTAAAGAAAGCGGAATTGTATCTTTGAGAATTGTCTGAAGAGTGAACCAATTAAATCATTTGTTGGTCACTGGGTGTAGATTCTCTCTTTAGAGACAGGTCTGTTCCACCTTGACACACTCACTGAGTTTTACCTGTGTGCGTGTGTGTGTGTGTGTGTGTGTGTGTGTGTGTGTGTGTGTGTCCGTCCATGTGTAGAGTCAGTTGCTTTTAAAACATCTCCAGCATTGACTATTGGGAATCCCAGCATGGATGATATTTCCGTTCAAACGTTGCACAGGGGAAATTAGCACAAAACAATCTGCTCGGCCATCTGGAACGTTTCAGGGAGCTTGTTTGTTTCTGAAGCTGCACATCTGTGTACGTGTATGCAAACATGTATAGCCAGATTGGCTTCAAACACCTGAGGGTAGTACTTTGCCTCCCAGCTAAATTTGGCATAAGCAGAGTGATTTTTCCTGTTTTTCCCAGTGACACATGAATATGTGTTTGCATGGGGTTGTTGTGCATCTCCTTCATGAGGTACAACATCAGGCCCCGACAGGGGATGAAGGGAAAGAACAAGAACAACCACTGGAAAGACACAAATGTCTTGTTAGCAATGGATTTTATACTTTTTTTTGCCCTAAAGAATATTTTCATTGAATTATGAAAAGGGATAAAG